GTACAAAATTATAAATTTTTACACTAACTTAAGTGAAAAAATAAATCTTTCAACGTAGAAGAGAAAATTTTAGAAAGGACTTAATTTTAAATGAGTTCTTGCTAATTGACAAATGTTTACCTGGTGGTCCCATGAGATAGAGCTTCATGTGGTTTTCGCCCACCATGAGGCGGGTCAAAACAACATGGGTTCGAATCCTTGGCTAGTAGCAGTGTTGTTATTGATCAATACCACTCGTTCGTGATTACAATAATATCTATATAATGTTACTAATTAATAATAATACAATAATAGTAATACTAATATAATAACCAGATCAGACCTCCGGCCAGCCGGGGTAACGAGAGCTCGGAGTCTCTGAACGAGACCGTCAAGACTTCGTTAGAGGTGGAGGCTACGGTGAACGACACGCTGAACGAAGACAAGTATGAGAGATCTCTCACCAGCTCTGAGGGCACCAACGTTATGGGTACCTACTGATGTTTTCATAGATGGGGGGAGGGGAGGAGAGCTAAACCCACGTGGCTTCGTCAAGCCATATTGAGGTTTTATCAAGCTTTTCTCTCTTCCTGTCTATCCACAACCTTTTTCTTCTGTTGTATCCTATCACAGTACTCCCCATCCCCGTTCTTTACATCAGTCTTATGGCATATTAAAGAGAAACTCTCATTGGGCGAAACGTAGCCCAAATAAATATCCAAAGGTTGCAATGGTGTTAATTTACCTCATTTGCCTATATAACTATACCACTTAAACTACTGATTCACGAAATCGTAAAAGACGCTTGTAAACAAACCAGGGTACGGATGGGGTTTGAATCCATGGGGAGTGAGTCGTAAAACTCCAAGCCAGTGCGTAAGCCACTAGACCAGCTGGCTATAAATACACCTAGTTGGATGAATGTCATTGTAGCCAGCTGGTCCAGTGGCTTACACACTGGCCTCTAAGTTTACGACTCAATTGCCATGGGCTCTAACCCCACCCGTTACCCTGGTTCACTAAACTTTTCTCAGTTTCACCAACATGTACGTCAATAACACTATTACTATTCTACTACTATTACTACTATTGCTGCTGCTTCTACTACTACTGTTACTACTACTACTACTACTACTAATTACTACTACTACTACTACTACTACTACTATTACTACTACTACTACTACTACTATTACTACTACTACAAGTAACCTATTCACCACCAATCAAAAAATAATTTAACCCAGAAATTAGGGATTAAAGTAAACTCTCAGTGATATATTTCTGAGTGACATATTTCAAAATATAATAAACATAATTGTTTTTAAAAGGTGTGGACAAGTAAGCCAGTAGAAGGCCTCGGTCAGAAGACCAAAAGATCCAGTGGCGGGCCATCATATTTCTAAATTTGCTTGTAACGAATAAATGATCTTTTGATATATATCCAGATGTACCCCTGTAAACCCTTTTGGGGCCTAGTTCCTTGGCCTTTTGTGTATCGATATGTTCTTGCGCTACCTTCCACGGGATGGATATGGTGTACACAGTAAACTACCCACTTCGGTGGCTGGCCCAAAAAATCACTGACATTTCTTGACTCACGACTGCAAACAAACCACATTTCTTCCTCAGTAATTACATCGTTAACTCAGATTCTGGTACTTATTTCAGGGATGATTGTCTTCTGTGTGGCGTTCGGTTCTCTGATTGGTCGCATGCCCCAGGGTAAACTGATGGTTGACTTCTTCATCATTCTCAACGATGTTGTTATGAAGATGGTGGAGCTGATTATGTGGTGAGTGAACCAGTTTGATATTGAGTCAGTGTTAAGCGAGGCAGTGTTATGGTGAATGAGGTAGTATTATGGCAAGTGAAGCAGTTTTACGTTACACGAAGCAGTATTATATGTTACACGAGGCAGTATTATCCTGATAATTAAGAGTGGTTCTCCTTCAGGTACTCTCCCTTCGGGATCATGAGTCTGGTTATCGGACAAATCATGAGCATCGAGGACCTGAGGGAGACGGCGCAGATGCTTGGGCTCTATATGCTGACTGTGATCGCTGGTCTCTTCGTCCACGCTGTTATCACTCTCCCAGCGATATATTTTGTCATCACCAGAAAGAACCCGGCTGTGTTCTTCCGGGGTATGGTGCAGGCTTGGATCACGGCTCTAGGCACCGGCTCCAGGTCAGTCATGTATACACGAAATTAAAATCACTATGACTCACGGAATCGTGATCACACGTCTGTAAACAAACCACGGAACAGGTGAGGATTGAACCTATGGCAGGTGAATCTTAGAACTCCAGGATAGTGAGTAAGCCACTCTGTCAGCTGGATACCTAGTTACATGAATCTTATTCTAATCAGCTAGCCGAGTGGCTTACACGCCGGTCTGGAGTTTCAGGACTATTGCCCTGGGTTCAATCCCCACCCGTTCCGTGGTTTAATTACAACCATTTAGACTCGAACAGGTTGTAGATGTGCCTTCCCCACCGTCTTGAGACCAGCCAGGTCCAGTGGTTAGTCTGGTTTTTATGGCTCGAGTCATGAAACCATATAATAATCACTCGTGTACTTTTAGCAACATGATCATGAAAGTGACCTCCCTTAGTTTCTTAACTCCACTCAGTTCTTCCTTTCGTTTTTCAACCTCTTTAAATTAATAAACTGAACCTACTATCGTACCAAAATGACTTTCTCAAGTCCACTTTTCCAGTGAACACTTCCCTGATACGCCTTCCCTTTGCTCTAACTTACAGAATCGTTAACAATGCCCTTTGTTCTCAGTATACTAAACTTGGATTTGGTCATAGTGATTTATTTCGAAGTTTTCTGGTTTATACTTCTACCAACCTGTACTCTGCAATAATTCCTTCCTGCTCATTTTCTCCTCTCAGGTATACAAATGAAACTTGCCAATCCCGTTCTGACGAACTAAAACAGCACACAAAAAAACAAAGTGCTTGCTTTGCTGACTCTAACAACGCTTTTGTCTGTAATGTTAAGGACCATGGCTGTCCTGTAAGCTGATTTTTTAAAAAATAAATTGATCTTTCATGGAAGCTTCACAGACTTTTAGTCAAAAATGTCCCATATATTAGTCTAAGCATTGGCATCGTTTCTATAGTCAATACTTACTTTAGCTGTTTTCAAAATGTAAATGTCTTCATTTACATTTTGAGAATAGATGGAGAATTACATAATATCTTATATTAACAGAATAACTAATTATTTTTCTAGCAGCTAAAGTGAATGTTGATCTTTACTTCACAAGAAGCCAACTTGACCTGACCCTGGCTGTCTCCTCGCCTCACAATGCCCTGAGCTAACTTCGGGCTTCTTACAGTGCGTATATAATTAATGACATCGTGATATTGGTCCAAGAGGAATCCAAAACAGGGTTCATTTTCATTTGAAATTTATTGGTTTGCTGTATATTAACACACATCTCACCCACAGCTCAGCAACGCTGCCCATTACCTTCCGGTGCCTGGAGGAGAACAACAAGATAGACAAACGGGTGACGAGGTTTGTGCTGCCGGTGGGTGCCACTATCAACATGGACGGCACGGCGCTCTACGAGGCTGTCGGCTCCATCTTCATCGCTCAGATGTACGGCATCCACCTGGGTCCTGGCCAACTTCTCACCGTCAGGTAGGTCTCCTTCCTTCCTCTTGTTGCAGGGCCTCTACCAGCCATTCGCTGTTAGGTGGGTCGTGTCTGTTGTTGAAAATGTCAACAGTGGGGTACCACAAGGATAAAATTTTTGCCTCGAAACTGTTTCTGTACTAACCTGTGACCGAAATATATAGATATTTTGGGGTCCAAATCTTTATTGTTTTATTCCAAATTAATTTACACATAGGCTGGTATACAGTTACAAATTTAAACTCTTGTAATGAATCTTACTACAGTCATAAGTTTCTTGGTGTTTACAGCCTAACGTCTACCTTGGCCAGTATAGGCGCTGCTAGTATTCCCAGCGCTGGTCTGGTCACCATGCTCCTTGTCCTCACCGCTATCGGTCTGCCCACAGAACACGCCTCACTTATCTTCGCTGTAGACTGGATCTTGTAAGTCTTATTTATACCTGTGATGTTTACCTTGACAACCTGTGTGTGCGGATGACTGAACTTTTAAGTCTGTCAGAAAGAGAGCGGCCAGTCTCTCCAAAGTATTGGAGAGGACAAGAGGAGTTTCAGTAGCAGCAGAGGTGCGAACTAGATTACTAAGAAGGGTGTTAGTTTGACGAGAAGCAAGTGTGATGTCTAAGGAACAGAGGGAGTTGTTAAGATTTAGGAGACCGTAAATATAAAGGATGCAAAGAACTAGAGATTTCGCAAGAGTAGAGAGTTTGGGAGAGAAGAAAGTCCGTTTAACACGTGAGTAGTGTATCTAACTCTTTGCTTTCTTTCCTCGACGTACCTTCCATCTCTCAGCTACAGGCTTTTCTTTTTCTGTTTATCGCAAGCCTATGCACAGTGGTATGTACATTCACTGCTTTCCTTACCATGCTTCCTCTGTCAAGAATATTGTTCTTTCTTCGTACCCTCCGCATTTGTGACCCCTTAGTTAGTGAGTCAGAAATTTCCATTCTTCGCTGTTCGTTCTCTAGCCTTGGTTACCCTTCCAGTTTCATAAACCCTTCCTACGGTGTATATAATTTTGAAACAGAATATATACACAACGAGATATATGTCTCACTGTACTCGTACATGCGCTGATAGTTTAATTTAGTCCAATTTTAAGGTATTAAAGTATTCTTGACTGATGGGGACAAGTGACGTGCAGCCTTAATGACCCTCGTGTAGTCGATAAGCTCTAAACTTCATTGCCCAACCAACCTAATATGTTTTATAAGTGTCTTCTATTACGTAAAATGAACTTATTAACTATTGCTAGTTTTCCGATTAAGCAACAATGTTAAATCTTATAATTTTTCGCAAAACCAAAATATTTCAAAGATTTAATTTTTTTTCCGAATTATAAACATGCATGGTGAAAAAAAATGCATTACAGTGATTTTTTTTATAGTCAACTATCTACATAGTGTAAGTTTCGTCATTGCCACCAATAACAAGCACTTCCAAAATTAAATAGATCTTTAAATGGCCTTTATAGTAGGCGATATTCAGTTTTTCGTACACTTTTTCAATTGTATTTGCAAAAAAGAATTACCATATACCTTAGTATTATAAGAGCTTATCGTATAAAAATCCTTAAAAATTATGTTTCATTTGGCAGAGATCGTGTCCGTACCTCCATCAATGTCCTGGGCGACGCTTTTGGCGCCGGTATAGTAATGCATCTGTGCCGGGAGGAACTGGAACGCATGGGACCAGCGCAACCTTCCATTGAAATGCTGGACAAGGTCGAGTGTGGGATGATCCCCACTCACACACCACTGGCTGCTTCCCCACAGCTCTCGCCCGTCTCTCCAATGCGGGGCATGCCCAAGGACCTCATGCCCCTCACAGACAAGGGCAATGGGCAGCTGTCGTGGGGACACCATCCGGAGAGAAGTCCAACCTCAGAGACCCAGATATAGACAACACCGGATCCGTGGTAACGGACGATCCCGCAGTCGCAGCTGAGATGAAACCGCGGACGTCTTCTTGGTGGTTCTTAGGGCAACTGGCAGTTTACGCCGTATTGAACCCTACACTACCGGCTCCGTAATGCAGTCGTAGTCAGGATTTCAGTGTCCATCCTATGGCTACCAGAGTATTGTAGAAAACGTGTATTTAACCATGAACTATTGGTTCCGAGTAAGGGTGTATGTACTGTATGATAATGTGTTTGTAGAGGGAATAACTGTATAATAAATCATTACATGAAGTATTTCTAAAAATAATACTGTTATATACATGTCGCTATTTATAGCCTAAGTTTTGCCAAACAAGCCGAGTTCATACATATTTTTCTATATTTCATCGAGAATTGGTTTGAACATTACGAAATAAATATATTTCGATGATTTTAAATAATTCTAAGTACCCCTGACAGGTAGGGTTAAACAATCACCATTAAATGTTAGAAAAGTCAGGTCAGGTTGTTAAGTTTTCTTTTTGTTAAAAATTAAAAAAAATGATACTGTGTTAATTGATGTGCATATATTTATCAATAAATATTAAATTTAAAAAATGTTTTAAATACATTTGGCTTGCTTGAACTGATTTATTAAGCACGACACAAATATATATATATATATATATATATATATATATATATATATAAATATATATATATATATATATATATATATATATATATATATATATATATATATATATATATGAAGACGTAAGTCGAACATTTTTTTCACGGATTATCATTATAGACTTAAAATGAGAAACCTTAATTAATCTCACTGCCTCTCTATCTTGTCCTAGACAACTTAGATGTTACATTTCCTGTAATTAAACTCTGAGTGTCAATTACAAAAGTCAATCATCATTTGTTAGTCACCTCCATATGTAGTTTGTGTTTGTGTTTACCTTAAAAAAAAAAAGATTAATAAATTCGTCAATAGGTGGAGCGTTGCTATGTTTGCTAAGTAGTTATTAACCCGGAGAGCCTTAATAGTCATTAATAGTGAGTTTTTGTAATCACAAATCAGGTGATCATCTATTGACAATGGTTGCATGTTATGGCATTCGTCAGGAAAACCCACCTGAGACGGGTCTGTTACTGGTGTTGTTGACTGGGGAGTAACTCTTGCCATAACAATGTTAGTCTCATTGTCAACACTATTATGCAGTCAATTATCACAGAGTGTGTTGACTGGTGTACACTGGACCTGTGAGTGTGGATGTGTTGGCCTATGTGCACAATCTGTGCGCCATGCTGCAAACAAAACGCATTTTGGCCTATCTGAAGACAGTTGTAGATAAAAGGTAAGTACATCTTTTCGTGTGTGCAAGCACTGTCAGTGGTTGTGTAAATATTGTAAATATTGTCAGTGGGCGTGGTGCGTCTAGGCTCAGGACAATTCGCCGTAGTAAACACAATAGGTTAGTTAACTCCACGACAGCTTCAACCAGTTTGTCATTTGATTCCCCTAACATAATTGTCTAGAATTATTCTAGGGTTGTGGTAGGTTGAAAGTAGTGGAGGGGAGTTGAAAGGAGCGCGGGTTGAGTGAGACAGGAGTGGGTTAGAGAGACGCGGGGAGGTGAAAAAAAAATTAGTTTAAGATCTTCGTTATGTACCCCATACCCATGGTGTGGGCGGTAGTCAAAAATGTTAGAGACATATGTTGGGTCCAAGGACTGGGCCCCAAAGTACTGATAACTAAACAAGTTAGTGGTAATGAACTACTGACATGCTTATATCTGGTCACAGTCGTAATGATTTATTTATGCAGATATCAATTAAGTCCCAAAAATATACAGTGTACCTTATATGTGGTTCTGAATTATTTATATTACCTTATATTTTAGCAAGATATGGTAAATGAATTTAAACAAGTTTGAGTTATTATGAGTTATTTACATCAGACAAAGTCAGGTTTTTTTTTTAAATGGTTGGTTATGTACCACTGTGGATAAAAATATTTTGACATTTCTTGAACATGTGTGAGCGAGTTGTCTGTAAATTCATTAATTTTATTGTATTCCAGGACATTATGACGTAGAATGTGACAATAGTTACATCAGCTGGTGATGTGACCTCCCAGAGATGGTTGTAGACCCGCCGAAGCCGGGTAACAGAGACATCCAAAAGTTTGTTTTTGTTGGATGCACCATAGACATGGAGGTTCTTGCATGATAGTGATGATAGATAAACTAACTGGTATCAGTCTCCCTCAATCTCTAGTAAATGAAGTTCGATTGAAGTTCTATTCTTATTATTGTTCTCACACTGCTAACTGACAGCCCAAGATTGTGCTCCATTCCCTTTCTGAAGTCTTTGCTACCTCACCAGTTCTATATACATCTGAAGATCAACGTGAAAAAGACGGGGTGAGGGAGAGAGAGACGGGGTTGAGACTACCAGGGTTCATGCTGAGGCTTTCATCACAAATATACAACAGGAAGATATTAGAAAATGCTTTTCAGTCTTACGGTAACTTTTTGGGGAAGTGTTGGAGGTATACCCCAAACACAGTTTGAATAGTACGTATGATGAGGCCAATGGGCAGCGCTGTATAGCCCCTGTGGTTTAACGCTTCTTTTTTATTGTAATAATAATAAGATGGGGACCAAAAGATTAATTTTTGAAGTTAAGGAAGTTGAACCATACGAGTCTCGACCCCTGTATACACGACTCCGTCAGTACTCACATCACTAACCTTAGAGTAAAAAATATTCACAGTACCATTAAAACCAGTTTTTCCAACAGTGTATTCTTACTCCTTCCTTATCATTCCCTCCGAAATGATCTGCATGACAAGGGATTTTTTGCGTATATTATTAAATGAGTGGGAGTGGACGTGTCAGCGGATGGGTCTATGAAAGACGAGGTGAATCATAGAGTTGATGAGGGGAAAAGGGTGAGTGGTGCACTTAGGAGTCTGTGGAGACAAGAACTTTGTCCTTGGAGGCAAAGAGGGGAATGTATGAGAGTATAGTTTTACCAACGCTCTTATATGGGTGTGAATCATGGGTGATGAATGTTGCAGCGAGGAGAAGGCTGGAGGCAGTGGAGATGTCATGTCTGAGGGCAATGTGTGGTGTGAATATAATGCTCCCTTAGTTTATACACTTTCACCTCCCTCTTACTTGTTGTTGCCACCTTCCTCTTTTCCCATCTACCTCTTACTCTAACTGTAGCTACAACTAATAATGACTGATA